ACATGGTACCTAGACCCTCGGTCTGTTCAGACAGTCCTCTTAAATGTGGGCGGGGTTGTTGTCACTCACTGCTCCGTCCAGCACTCGCTGTATTTCCTCATCAGCGGTGACACAGATGGAAGTCTGCACCTGGTTTATCGTCCACAGAACGAGGCTGCACGCCCACATTTTCAGAACAAAATAGAACAGGCTGCAGTGAGAGTCTCTCTCCATGGGATATTTAAAAATAGCAGCTTTGTGCATTTAGTCCTTCTCAGGCAAGCTCAGGGGTTTAGTGTTGCTGTAGCCCACAGGAACGACGCTCCACTGCACTTTTTTTTTCTCCATGAGAGGATTAGAAAATATACAGTTCACATAGAAGATACACTCATAACCTGAAGCGTCTGTCTTATAAAAATGAATGGAATAGTCAAAGTTGTCACAGTGAAATTTAAAGTGATAGGTTTTTCAAGTTTTTGGACATGAAGTTGTGTGAAATGCTGAGAAATGGCCCATAGCTTACCGGAGAAAAAGTAGTTCTGAAGATGTACGGGGGACACGTAACCAAAAGGTTTTAAGCTACAAAAAATTATGCATGTGTTTTGTTAGACTATTTCAATAATTTTAAAACATCCCCGCATTACGTCAGACCTTGCTATCAATTGGGACTATTTTCTGGCCAGTATCACTCCGCCGTGCAGGCCCGCAAGACAGCACGCCAACAGAAATCAATTAGACAGTTCATCACCACGCCGTGCAGGTGCGCAGGATAGCAACGGCTAACGAAAACTTTATCGGCTGTTTCCAACAGAGAACCAGTAGGCTATTATTAGTGAGGAAAAAGATGTACTAGCCCTATATATACCTACTACTACAGCGCAAACACCGGCTCAGGCTCACGACACACCCTCGTCAGCTGCTGTAGGTAAACAGAGGAATACCAAAATGGTGCGAACAGCTGTGGGAATAAAAACATCGTCAGCCCCGAATTCCATCGGTTTCCTGTTACAGATGTAACCCGTAGGCAACTCCAGCTGCTGTGAGAGGCAGCAAAACATCCTTTCATTTTATAGTTACAGTTTACTAATAAAACTCTCCACAGTATGAACAGTGGTTACATGAGCCTCAAAACCAGACACAACTCAGCCCTGAGCAGAGTGACCGTCTTCTACTGACCAATCAGACTGCAGTGTTCACAGCTCCACCTTTTAGTACCAGATCTGTGTGCTAGGTACCCCAACAGAGGGGGGACCAAACATGGGGACGCTAAGGAACGCTTCTGTTGGTACCATCCACAACTTTTCACTGTGGAAATGGAAAAAATGTGTACTGAACTGAACAGCGCTGTGGAAACGGGGCTTGTGTGACTGATGAAGGCTGCGTAGCCATCGACCACTCTCAGAGCCAAGTTTCGCTGAAAACAGTAGTATGTAAAACATCCCATCAATGCCAATAAGTCAGTCAACTGATAAATTGTTGAAACTTTAATTCCAAGATCTGCACAAATAAAAACACATACCACAGTGACACCTGCACTGGTACAGGAACCTGTACAGGTAGTTCCAGGAAACTGTTCAGAGAGTAGCAGCAGTTGTGTAATTGTGTTTCATATGAAGCAACAACAGTGTTGGCGCTGATCAGACGGGCTCAGTGGAAAAGTTTCACGTGTGAAAGGTTTTTAACAATAATGTTGTATTCCAGCACAGAAATCTTCCGCATCACTGAACAACACTGCAGCTTTATGTCGTGTTTGAAAACCTTCCTGAAAGTTTTATTTCCTGTAAAGGGATTGTTGGGATTTTTTGAAGTGGGGTTGTGTGAGGTACTTTTCCATAGTCTGTGCATTACACACAGTAGATGTCAGACAGCACGGCCCCACAGGAGCCAAGTGACGTGCAGCTGTGGAGGAGTACAGTTGTTGAATACGTGATGTCAAAAAAGTGTGCGTGATAGGTTTGCTGAAAAGCATGATGAATTTCTACTTAAAATGTTCCCATGATGGTCATGTACAATATTAGGTAGCTTCACTGCACATTGCTGTTCAGGTAAAGTCAGCTCTGATTATATTGTCACACACTGAAAATGTCATAAATTACATGAATAAATATAAGAATAAAGTTATTTTACTGGACAGTTTTTGAGAAAATTAAAAAAGAAAGTCAGCTCAAATTACATAGCAACACAATGACGTTCTCCTCATATTTAAACTGTCTTCAAAAAGAAAATGTCTCAGTGGTTAGTGATGGATTTCTTTTGGTCAGATCCGGCCGAGCCGTGATGCAAGCCAGTGGCGTAAGGTCGTTATGACAGGCCCCATGGTTGCTCTGAAGTACACACACACACACAGCATCAGGCTTATAGCCAATATAGTATTTCCCAATGATATGGGGAGTTTTTCCTTATCTGCTGCGAGGGTCCAAAGAACAGAGGGATGTCGTATGCTGTAACGCCCTCTGAGGCATATTGTTATTTGTGATATTGGGCTTTATAAACGGAATTGAAATTGAAATGTGTCTTTTATGTTTGAAAGGCGTGACCGCTCGCTGAGCTTGCACAGATTTTGTGCCTCAACTACCTCCCATATGTTTATGTTTATCATCTTGTCACATGACCCAAAAGAAACTTGACAGTAGTCAGCATCAACATAAATATTACCCACTAATCATCATTGCATGTCTGCGAATGACAAAAATACCAAAGAAAATAAGAACTTAGTCGTTTAATTGAATGTTTGTTTTTATACTTTATGCTGAATAAGTATATCATTTTGTTAGAAAACGCTACTGACTATTTTAGAAAATTAAACCATGTTGTATGGATTTGTCTTTTTGAGGGCATATATAGAAAATAATACAACAGGTAGTTCTGACTGAGCAATTTGTTTGGACTGGAGTCATTCCAGTTGATATATAGATTGATAGATATACTGTATATCAATCATATATCTTATGACAGTACTGGGGGTTTTAGCTCTGCATGTATCACTCCATTTTACAGCTGTTCTGAGCCGTTAATTATGTTAATTGTTGATAAGCCCACATTCAGGGTCGTCATAACAAACTTTGCACCACAAAATTAAACGTATTACAACCAATAACCATGAAGTTAAATAGTGAACGGTCAGAAAAGGACAAAGGGATGGAGGGAAGCCTGAATACTTCACTGTAACGCTCCAGGGAATTTCCTATGACACCAGAAGACAACGCAAGCTGTTAATTTATCTGCGTCACACGTGTTCCACCAAAGCGACTGTCAACAGACTGATTTCACTGGTCACAAAATAAATGGAAACACACACATGTAGCCTACATAATACAATGTAGGTGTCCTGTGGTGATGTGTATAAACTGAAAGTAACAAGCTAGTGTGCAGGACTGTTTGTGTTGCTTGGCATCAGTCCCATCCCGGTCCAGCTGCTGAACTATTTGTGTTGGTGGAGCCAAATATATCTTTAAATAAACAAGCAAATCAAAAACCTTTTGCCGCTTTTAACTGTTGATAAATGGCGCTTGTAGAGCTGTTGTGTAAAAGCAACATCACAGTCGTGCTGTTGTGCTGTTGTGCTGAATATCAGCACGGCTGTGATTGGGTCATAGGCACAGCCAGGCTGATATTCAGCACAACAGCATGACCTCGACTGTGATGTTGCTTAATTACACCATTTTTAACATGAGTCCTTCATTTAACACGAGGAACAGGAGGTATTTCCAGGTAGCAATCTGAATCTCTCTATAAGGGCCCCCCATCCTCAAGGGCCTGAGTGCAACCACAGTGCCTCTCCATGTTTACAACCCTGGTACAAGTGCTGAAAAAGAAGAACAAATACACCAAGATAGTGTTATAAAATGGTGCAGCCAGCTAATAAGAAATGGAGCATGTCATTTTAAAAGTTACAAGCAACAGTGCGTGTACACCAAAAAAGTATTTCAGGTCCTGAAATGTATTCAAAACAAGTGATTCAGGATTTATAGCAGTATTTATATTTTTTTCTCTGACGTGTCAAATGGAGTTCATACGACATGATCCTTGAAGTTTGGGTCTGAAAATAAGATAATAAAGATGCGTCTTTATGTGGGAACACAACTGTGCACAAAAATATAAGAGTGTCAGAGGAGGAGAGCCTCAGCTTCATAGCAGTGGACACAGGGTAAGCAGGGTACATGTCCGTCGCAGCTGCTGTATCTGTCCTTTACTTCCTCCTCATTTTTCCGTACCGTAAATCGAGTCTGACAGCCGTTCAATTCATCTTAACAAGTCAGAGCTTGTTTTTCCACGTTGCCCTGGATGCACCGTGACTGGGCGGACAAGGTGCACACTTGCTGCTTCTTCTTTTATCAAGGCAGAGAGGCACACTTCCTCTGGCGGCTCTCTGAGCACCGAGCTGGGAGGATGCACTGTGTGTTTGAACAAAGGTGTACAGCAAACAGGTTAGCAACAGGCAGACGACCCTGCGCTCGTTCTTTATATCAAATCATGTAAGTTGAGTTACGCAGTGTTTGATGAACAGTTAGCTGACATTAAAAGATGACCTCTTTTCCTCGTCATCTGGTGTTTTAAATGGGAGAGAATATTTCAATAAATCATTCAAAAAATCATCTCTCACCTCTGAAGTAATGGCTACACCCCTGCTGCAGTGTGTGTGTGTGTGTGTGTGTGTGTGTGTGTGAGATGTACTGTGTGCCAACACCTGTGCAGTCAAAGTCATTTTAATGAACCTGCTCATTCTGCCGACACAGTTTCTTCACTTCACCTAAACCTTTCGTTGTCTCTCCAGAATCCGAATCGTCCATTTCATCCTTCATCGGACCTTCATCGGCACAGGAGGTGAGAGTTTTGATAGAATTTATTAGTATCATCTGTTGACCTTCAGCAAACACACGGACATGATATGAGACAAACAGCAGCCTCTCATGCTGATATGTTCTGCTTTGTTCCCGTCAGAGAACCTGCGGGAACTGTTGGAGAAGGATGTGTTTGAAACCACATTTTGCCTCCATGAGGTGAGTCGACCTCTGACTGATCCTGTTCAACTTACACTGCACGATCTGAGTCCTTTCATATTGATTATCTGGTCACCAGTGTACCGAAAGAATTTTTCACATTCACACACCTCTTTCACTCCGGCCCTACCAGAGACCTGTTTTTGTCTTTTTTTGGGACGACGCTTGATTTTTAGGGGGAGACAGCAGGTCAGCAGTAGATGCCACATAGAAGTGGTTGACATCATCTGAAAACAGGAAGCTGAAGAGTAATTTGAGACGCAGCTCAGCGCTGTGTGACAAGTCAAAAACATGTAATTAACAATGTGTTTTGGTGAGGTGCCTGTTCAAACTTTGAGTACTGTATAAGCGCCCTGACACACCGAGCTGATGTTAGGCTGTCGATCAGCGTCAGACCATCAGTGAGCGTCTATCGCCATAGCTTTTGCGATGTGTCCCACACTGTTGGCACCAGTCGGTCCTTGTCAACTGTTTTTCGGCTGCTTGACATGTTGAGCTCAGTGCACGAGAAGAGAAACTGAAGTGAGGAAAGCAAACAAACACCTAACGTCAGGAGGGAGTGAGAACAAACTTGTTATATGAGGTATTTTAAAGCCACTTAGCTCTTTAGCAGAAACTGTTTGTAATGGTTTGTGTTGTTGTTTCTTGTGCTGGTAAATATCTTTTCTTATTTTAACATCAGGCTGTGTTTTTGATGTGTAAGTGGCTAACTAGCATCTTGAATCTGTCCTGTTGGTCTTCTGTTTTTTCATTGTGAATGACGAATACAAACTACAGCTGCCTGCGTTTAAAGAGAGGTGTTTTCTTAATGCAGGCACACAGGGGCGCCGCCAGGGATTTTGGGCCCCCGGAAAAGAATTTTTACTGGGACCTATGCACAGCTGGCCAAGAGGCCGCCAAAAATTTTTGATGCTATTTTACATAAAACTATGCATTTTGATGGTATTTCTGACTATCATTCCCACATCTGTGAAAAAAGAACAATCTCTTCCTCCACTTCCACATTCCTCCCTGACAAACTTGAAGAGGATCCTGGACCTGGCTCTGTAGAGTGTACGTTATAGGGCTGACCCAAAAAATTAGAAGCTTCAAAGCTTTGTTCGATGGCACGGGATTCGATTGTGAAAAAAAAAAATCGAATATTCTGCTTTTTTTTCCTCCTGTTTTTTGGGGGGACCTTGAACGCAACACCATCTCTGAAAAGGAACTAGAAAGCCCAACGTGCAGTGAATGGAGACCTATTTTCCTGCTTGAACATAGACAACTAAATTCTTTCAACATGTGACTCAAAACAATGATAAAATAGATTTTATTGATGTAAGATAATATGCTGATGGTGACATTTTCCACTGGTCCGCTGCGCTCTGAGTCTGGTGTCAGTGACACATGCTGCTCTGAGTCGCGCATCTGTCTGCTTGCGCTGCAGTGTGCGCCGAGGGTTTTAATTTTTAGTGTTAAATCAGAAGTTAAACACTACTTATCAGCAACCGGAAGTGTTTTTTCGTTTGTGAATATTTTTATCTTAATTCTAGGGTTTCAAGAAACTACCTTTTCACCATAATTTGTAAGTTATTAGTTAGTTTTCGCTCAGCAAAAAAAAAAAAAAAGTTGGTTTCTTGCTCATCCCTAACTAAAATGATCACCTTCTTCTGAATATTAACTTTGTCCCTGGTCTATAAGCTGCTTATAGACCAGGGACAAAGTTAATATTCCATAACTTCCCACCACATGAACCACTAACAAACCCACCTTGCTTTTTGAAATACTGGGTGACATACTGTCGACCCTTTGCTTCTTTCTCCTCTCTTAGCTTCCTTTCTTTCCGATTTTGGCTACCTGATTTTTGAGGCATATTGCCGTCTCTTCCTTATCTCGTAATTACGAGATAAGGTGTCTAATTTTTTTTTAACCAGTGAATGCAATGCGCTTCCGTAGCCTCCTTACCTGCTGTCTGTGACAAATTACGACGCACTGCAGCTGATCCAGTCGGACTGAACCATTTTATGTAAATAGAGAGGGGGGGCGTTAATGTTTCCAAAACAGATAAAGTTATTGTTACCAGTCTCTGCTCTGCACATACTGCACCATCCTCACAGAGAAACTAAACTGCACGAAGCAGCTCCTGTTCTGGCTTCAGGCTCTGTGTCAGGATGACACACAGATCAAAGGCTCAATAACCTGAGGCTGCAGTTAAAAGGAAACATCACACACTTAATACACCAGAGTCCACGGCAAAGTCCTCAGGGTTTAAAGAGGTGAACCAGAGTGCGTTTGCTACTGGTCCCTACAACAACCCAACACGTCATGAGACACAGTCACATGGTTACTTTTTATAACACCCAGTGAAAATATGATGAAGCAGAAAAATCTGTTGGTTCTGCTTTGTCACAAAGACACAGGTGTTTCTCCTCTCTTGAGACTGAGTGAACATCAGGTCCCTATTTTTCATGTGCGTTTTTTAAATCGGTCATCTGATAAAAATTGTAACACACAGAAACCTTGCACACAGGAAAATTCTCCACACAAGACAAAATGTAAAGACACATTTCCTCTTTTGCTTCTCTCCACTGGAGTTACCTCCCAGGTCGATGCCACTCTCTGCGGCTACCTGAGTTAAGACATGATGCTGTGAGGCCATTAAATTCCCCTCTGCTGTAGCGTCATCACTGCTGCTGTGCATCTCTTTGACGTGGAATATTTCAAGAAGGATGTTGCTTCTATATACTTCCACTTCTTTGTCTTGCTGACCAGCTGTCAGCTTCTGCTCTGTTCTCTGTTCTTGTTGTGGATGTATGTGTCCCGCAGCTTACGCCACATTTTCTTCACCGCTTCTTGTTCAAACAACTCTTTAAAGGCTTTGTATGGATTACAAAGAAAACCCGCATAAAACCAAACCTGTCAGTAACCGTTCACTCTCACTCACACATCGATGGAACAGCCGGGGGATCAAACCGCTGATCTTCCAATTAGTGGACTTGGACCAAAAATATAGATTTCAGGTGCAAAGGCCTTCAGAGCCATCAAAGTGAAAACACTAAACAAACTATTCAGACACAATGAAATATATTTTTGCCCAGATGTTGTGATGTTGATGTGAAACTGTGTATTGGTATAAAGAATAAACACCTAATGTATGTATGTTGATTTTTCCAATGATTCTCAGAGAAAGATGCAAAAACAGCTGAAGAAGAAATGGGCTCGATGGTCGGCTCTGTTTACGGGACAACCAGTCACCGACGTCAAGTCAGTCTCTAACTGTCTGTCTGTCTGTAACTTACTATATAATGATGAAAACTCTGTCTGTCTGTCTGTCTGTCTGTCTGTTCCACGTTTTTCTCCTCACTGACTTGGTCAATCCATGTGAAATTTGGCACAGTGGTAGAGGGTCATGGGAGGATGCCAATGAAGCAATATTACATCGCTCAAGTTTGAGCGATCTGCATGAAACTGGGTGAACATAATCTAGGAACCAATATCTAAAGTTCCCTCTTGGCAAAAGTTGGAAAACTTACTAAAACTGAGCTTCTATAAGGCAATGAATATTGCGGAGGGCGTGGCTCATCACATAAAGGTGTATAACATCTCAAGGGTTTCAGCCATCACCACGCAACTTTGTAGGCATATGACCACACATAATCTGAGGGGACCCCTCCATTATTGACCCCATCAAACAAAATGGGGGCGCTAGAGAGCTCATTTCTTATCTAGGCCTAACCGCCATATGGATTTTTACTAAACTTGGTAGATATGTAGAACAGGACGCCTCAAGGTGACTGGAGAAATTTAACTCTAATTGGCAACTGGGTGGCGCTATAACAACAGAAAAATGCTTCAAAATGGCTAAAACGCGACCGATCGCTGTGGCTCCCCCTGTGGACCAATGTTGGTGTTTTCTAATGTTTGGTATGACTAAGTCATGGTATGGTATGCTGTACATAATCACGGAAACTGTCAGTGTGTCATTCTGTCAGTCAGTCATTCTGTTTGTCCCACGTTTTTCTACTCACTGACGTGGTCAATCTATGTGAAACTGCACATAGGCATGAGGATTGGCATAGGTAGAAGGTGACAAAGCTACCAATGGGTATGGACTAGTTGTACTGTAATTGTCTGTCTGTCTGTCACTGTTAAGCATGTTCACACAGTGGATTAAGGAAAGCAGGATGTAAAACCTGTAACATTTGTTTAGGTCAGAGGTTTTCACACTAAGACCTGGGCTGAGGTCAAAGGGACAGGTGCGTTCAGGTGTTGTAACAACAACAGGAAGTTGATTTAACCACTCAGTGTCTGATTGCTACAATTTGCATCTGCTCATTCTCTGAGTCATATCTCGCATAACTCATCTGAACACAAATTTGAACATGACACATGTGTTTTTAGATTCAGTGTGACTCACACTTTCAGAAGATATAAGTATCTCTGGAACTTATCGGGATCAAGTATCCGTAAGTTGTAGAAAAAAGACGTCCCTGATAGCAAGGCAAGGCAGCTCTGCTTGTACAGCACATTTCATACACCAGGGCGATTCAAAGTGCTTTACTGAGCAGTAAAAGATTAAAGAGGAAATATATAAAAGGTGAATAAATTCAGACGAGGTGCAAAATAAAAAATATATTATATTTGATGTAATAAAAAGCAGATTAGTCTTTATCTTCACTTAAAAGAAGTGAGAGATGGTGCAGACCTGCAGCAGAACTTGCCTCAGAATCATCCTGTTCTCTTTAAAATCAGTGATTTGTGTCCCCTGGTAGCTTAGAGGGTGGAGCAGCCTGTGGCCCTTTGCTGCATGTCATCCCCCCTCTATCGCCTCCTTTAATGCTTAAAACTGTCCACTCCAATAAAGACAAAAAGCTGTACATTCATAGTTACATTGCAAACAGGAGCTGCTGATGGCAAATTCATCCATCTATCCATTTTTTACAACTTACCCAAGGCCAGGTCTCAGTGGCAGCAGGTTAAGCAAGGGAAAAAAAGGTAAAACCAGTGTTCTGTGATTCAAAAGTATAAAACAATTAAATATGAAAAAGGCCAGGGTGACTGAAGATGTTTTTAGTCTCTGGTTTGTTGATGTGTTTGTGTTACATGATGTCTGCAGGTGTTACTTTGGAGAGAAGGTGGCTCTGTACTACCTGTGGCTGGGCTGGTACACCAAGCTGCTGGTCCCAGCTGCCGCTCTGGGAGTCGTAGTGTTCCTGTATGGACTCGCCTTTTTCAACACCAACCCTCTCATGTGAGTCAGATGCTGTGGAAGTAAAATTATTATGTCATTGCATCAAAATAACTTTCAAGTCCCATTCAAACTATTTGAAATTTGAAACTTGTTAAAAACACACTGGGCCTTTCTTCTCCTGAACCTCTCAGATTTTCTCTGTGAGGTTTGTTCCTGCGAGTTTTCAAAGTCCGATTCATCGAACTCTCTGAACTGATGAAATGTAGGGACTTTCTAACGTTTGACTTCAAGAGAACCATGAGAAGCGAGCTCTTCCTGTTTATCATGTTTGTGCAGCAGATGAATCACTGAATCATGCTTTAATTTCTATTCCCATTAACCCTTTCATGTTTGTCTCTGTGTGTCTTCAGTAAGGAAGTGTGTCAGTCCAGTGTCATTATGTGTCCTCGCTGTGACAATTGTACAGTGTGGAGGCTGTCAGACACCTGCACCTACGCCAAGGTGAGCTCATCTTATGTCATTTTAACCAGCTGCAGTTAGTTCTAATAACAAAAAAGCATCACAGCCAGCATCTGGTGAGGAGTGAGACATTAAGTTTGCTGATCAGATCTTTTTTTTTTAATTACAAATCAACATAAAGCAGCTCTGCTTTGAATTCAGATATATTGACATTTACCCTGTTTGATCACAGAGAAAATTGAAGACCTCACAACTGTCCTGTCATGCAGTCCCAGATTCTCACTGAGCAGCTTACTTCATTCATTCATTCATTTATTTTCTGTAGCCACTTGTCCCATTGGGGGTCACGGGGGGCCTGGAGCCTCCACCACTGCACCACCGTGCTGCCTGAAACACAGAGCTGAAGCATTACATCTCCACGCTCTAGCAAAAATTTTAGAAAAACTCCATTTTAGGGAGAAACACAGTGTTGCAGGGCTGAAACAGAGAGGAAAAGATGCATTTGCAAATTAAACCACCGTGATGTGGCTGCAGTCTGGCCGTCAGGGCCCTGTCAAGCCGACGATGAGCATCTGTTGCTCTATATTTTGCAGTGTGTCCCACACAATGGACACTGCTCGACTCTTGCTGGCTTTTTTTCGGCTGATTGAGCATGTTGAATGGGCGTCTCATTACGTTTTGGATTGTTTTGCCTCAACTTGCTGCCAGCCTCCGTTGGTTTGCTGTTTTGTGTGTGTTTGTCAGATTTAGATTTCAAACTGAATTTTTTTGATGTTAAGCACTGACCAATGAGTTTGTTAAATTTTACACTGCCTCGGATTTTGAATTTGGCCACGCTACTTCGACAGACCTGCAGTACGAAGTTACAGCTGCCAATATACTGAATGTTGGAACCAGAATAAAGTCACTGAATTCACCACAAACCAGCTGACACAGCAGAGATGTTGCAAATACTTCCTAGTAACCTTAAGTGCTTTATCATCCAAGAAGCTTCTTGGATGAGAGGTGAAATGTCTTCAAGAACCGCAAGCAAGTCCAGTTGCCTACGATATAGCACTTAGGATTACCATGACCTGGATGACTGAGAATCTTCACCGACATTTCCTAGAAACTGAATTACAACGGCTTTTCAACTATAGTTCTGAGTGATGTCAGAACTTCAGACACAAACATATTAAAGGTTTTATGAAAAGCAGGTCTTGATGTTTATCTGTGTGTTTGTGTGGTGCCATGTTTATGATCTTCCCTGTTGATGGGATGTACAATGTGTTTGTATCCACACAGGTCAGCCACCTGTTTGACAATGAGGGCACTGTGGCTTTTGCTATGTTCATGGCGATCTGGGGTGAGTGTCTGATTTCATCTCATGATCTACTCTGGTGTCTAATCTAACGTGTTCCAGTGATGTGAAGTCTGGTTTCCCTGTGTGTTTCCACAGCCACTCTGTTCCTGGAGCTGTGGAAGAGACACAGAGCCAGAGCCGTGTCTAAGTGGAAGGTGTATGACTGGTGTGAGGAGGAGGTACTGACGACAAATCTGAGTCTGTGTCCTGTGTTGTTGTCTGCAGTGTTGTGTTACACATCGCTAATGGCACCCAGACAGTGAGCCCGTTTATATGCACACAATAAACTATCTGTTATTATCTGATTTCTGGAGTTACCAGATTATTCAAGTGGTCATGTAAACAGCATAATCTGATGTGCTTTATCAGATAAAAGCCATTATCGGATTTTGAGAAATCCGATAAACACACCTAGCTTTTTCCCCAGTAGTCCGTTTTATTCGGTGCATGTATACCATTAATCTGGTATCTTTGGTTCTTTTACATCTGCGCATGTGTGAAAAGTCGTAGAAAATATGCCACTCGCATTTCCAGAGGTACAGGGGGACGTACTGTCGTCTCATTGGGGCTCATGACATCCTTCATCAGATCACACAGTTTCACAAATGCTCTCCGAGACATCCTGAAATTCTCTCTCCATTCTGGATCTGAGAATTCCTTGAGGACCACTCTCTCCCACCAGTCCTTGCTCCGGATGCGCATCCAGCAAGCACGTTGTTTTGGTTGGAGTGGAGGACCCATCATGCTGAGACCAACGGCAGATGCTTGCTGAATGAAAGCCCATTGTCGTTTTCTCCTCATGGAGAATAAGCGAAGGACAGCAGCAGTGTGTAGCCTATTTTGCAGGCTTAACAGCTCCCACATAAGGACAGCCCTGACCGTTAGCGTCGCCTCCATATTCTTCTTATTCTTCTTTGTGAAGCGTTGCCATGGTGAAGAAGACAGGATGTTTTGAAACTAACAGGAAGTTTCTTCTTCTTGTTCTTCTTTTCAGTATTACGGCGAGTGGCAACCAGCGTTAAGGTGCATTACCGCCACCTACTGTAACAGGAAATTTGAGTTTTACGTCATGTACTTGGACAGAAATCCGACTAACAGACCGATTCATGTAAACCAGGGTTTTCTGATTATCGCATTACTGAAGTGCATGTAAACGTGTCAGATCAGATTATTACCATTACCTGATTATTCCCAGTTATCTGATTATTGTGTGCATATAAACGGACTCAATGTCGGCCCTGTCTACACACACGCAGATATTTGTATAAAATGGATATTTTCCCCTCAGTTTAAAAAAAGAAGAATTCAGTCCATTAGACCTTTGTTTCACAAAAATACTCCGGTCACAGTAGAACGTAAAAACAACTGTGTTAGCTGTCTCCAGTGTTCTCCTCTCGTCTTAAAGTTCAAATAAACACAACACAGAAGTTTGTGCTCTAATTAAAAAAAAAAAAAAAAAAAAAAAAAAAAAAAGGGATCAGCACTCAGTGAATAATCCTCCTAAGCCCTACGATAAGCTATTATGGCAAGGCTTAACTATACAGACCCGTGAGCAGTGATAACTAACATGTCTTTGGGGTCATCGGGTGGGAACCTCCTTTCACCGGTGTTTCGTCTAGTTAGTCCCACGACACCTCCAGGAGGCTAGACAGTGATCTCTGGCGTCCCAGAGACACTCCCCTAATGCCAGGTCTCACTGCTCCCCACACTAACCGAACAACCTCCTTTACCTTACCTATACTACCACAGAGGAGGTAGACCCAGGGAAGGAAGCCTTGTTAGGCTATCACACTCCCCCGCTGGGTTAGGCTGTACAGTCTACCTCCCCAGGCCCTCACAACAATGACACCTCCAGGAGGCTGGACAGTGATCTCAGCCCAAACAGCACTGCCACCTTCAACCAAGCCCAGGCTCCGTTTATGCGAGCTCCAGGCAGAAGCAATGCTGATACTACCTTTACTAGCACATTCACCATACTCTATTTCACACGCTACATAGCATAACTACAATTTAAGCTAAAGTTAAAGGAGATAAATGAACTCACAGGATCAGCAAACACACTCACTTTGCAGCATGGTCTCAAACAAAATGGATTCAAATAGGCCACTCCCACACTTAAATAACCTTCCTCTTCCTGGATTTCCTTCTTACTTACACATGGCTTTCTCAGCCCAAACAGCACTGCCATCTTCAACCAAACCCAGGCTCCATACATGCGAGCTCCAGGCAGAAGCAATGCTGATACTACCTTTACTAGCACATTCACCATACTCTATTTCACACGCTACATAGCATAACTACAATATAAGCTAAAGTTAAAGGAGATAACTGGACTTACAGGATCAGCAAGCACACTCACCTTGCCGCATGGCCTCAAACAAAATGGATTCCAATAGGCCACTCCCACACTTAAATACTTCCTCTTCCTGGATTTCTCCTGACAGGAAGTGGATCTCTCCACCTGATCTCAAGGAGTTATGTGCCCTGCTTAGTAGTTCCCCCTGCTGGCCCCCAGCTGACATTATTTCTTCTGTAATAGATAAACTGGCTGCATTTAATTGCTTCATCTGACATTTCCCTCACTGTCTTCCTCAAATTCTGTCCCCGCACTCCGAGTTCCCCCAGGAGTGAGACAGTTGATCTTGCTATGAATCCCCTACACCCCACTTCCACTGGACAAATCCTAGTCTTCCATCCTCGCTGCTCAGCTTCTGCTCCTAAGTCTGCATATCTAAGCTTTTTTCTTTCATAGGCTTCTTCCACTGAGTCTTCCCAAGGAACTGTCAGCTCAATGAAATAAACTATCTGTTGACTCACTGACCACAACACTAAGTCAGGCCTCTGCCTGGTACAGACTATTTCCTGAGGAACAACAAGCTTTCCCCCTAAATCTACTTGCATTTCCCAATCACAAGCACCTTCTAGGCGGCCACACCCTTGCCTCCTCACTAACTTATCCCTTCTGTATTTCTCTCCCTCACGGACAAACTGAATTACTAAGCCCCTATCCTTAACACCTTCTGAATTCACCTTTCTTCGTTTCCCTTCGATGCCTGCAGCTAAACATTTCAACACCTGATTATGTCGCCATGTATATCGGCCTTGTGACAAGCTGACTTTACAGCCTGACAAAATATGCTTTAAAGTTGCGGTACGTGAACACAATGGGCATGATGGGTCTAATCTAATACGATTCTCCTCCATACTCCACAGGTCCCTCCAACTAAGCTTCCTCTTCTCTACACTTTCCCAATTCAACCACTGTCCCTGTTTAGCCTGGGCCACTACCTTTGCACCCCTTACTATCTCTTCCTGTCTGCGTATCTGTTCTACAACCAGCTTTCTTTTATCTTTGAGGCCTGCTGTATTCCATACCGGTTTACCTGAGCCAAGCCCCAGGCCTCCCCGGCCAAACTGAACATTACCTACAATCTCTGCATGTCTAAGAGCTGCCTCTGCCTCCTGAACTGCCGATCTTGGGTTCCACTTCCTCCCCTTGGTTGGATTTGGAACCACACTCCTAACTACCACATCCTTACTCCCAGATAACAAGAGCTTTGTCCTGACCTTGGTACATTTAAATTCCTCTGTTAAACTAGATACTGGCAGCTGAAGTATCCCTTTTCCATACAATGCAACACTACTTAGGCACCTAGGAGCACCCAACCACTTCCTAATGTAGGAGCTAACCGACCTTTCCATTCTCTCCACAACAGATATTGGAATTTCATAAACTGACAATGGTCACATTAACCTAGGATATAGCCCAAATTGCAAACACCACAACTTCAACTTTCCTGGAAGTTCTGATTTATCTATTCTATCCAATCCTTCAGCCACATCTTTTCTAAATTTCACCACCTGTTCCTCATCATTCAACTCTACATTGTACCACCTACCTAAGCTCTTTACTGACTTTTCCCTAATTGTTGGGATGTCCTCATCATCTATGACAAACTTCCTATCACTTAACTTCCCTCTACATATCGAGATGCTTCTAGATTTACTAGGCTTGATTTTCATGCTGGCCCACTTGAGGTTCTTATTTACCTTCTCTAGTAGCCTCTTTGTACATGGCATTGTTGTGGTCACCAGTGTCATGTCATCCATGTAAGCCCTAACTGGTGGAAGATGCAACCCATTCTGCCGTCTCTCCCCACCTACCACCCACTTAGAAGCCCTGATGATTACTTCCATTGCCATAGTAAATGCTAATGGAGAAATTGTACACCCTGCCATGATGCCTATTTCTAGCCTCTGCCAAACTGTTGTGAAACCTGCTGTACTTAGACACAACCTAATATCCTGAAAATATGCTTTCACTAAGTTAACAACTACCTGTGGCACTCTGAAGTAGTCAAACGCACTCCAAATGAGGCTGTGCGGTACTGAACGCAAAAGCATGCAACATTTACAGGCTAACGTTACCTTTTTCAAAACACATACAAGAGACCTCATCATTGTTGATTCCTCTTTAATATCAAGGATGATGGAGCTCACTCGAAGATATGAGTGATGCTCTGGACAACAATCCCACTGTAAAAAAAAAAGTGTCCCATCTGCTGGGTCGACTGGTAAGACTACAGCAAATATCCAGTTAATGTGCATCAAAAGAGTACAAAAAATATCCAGGTTATATGCAGTAATGGAGCACACAAAATATATCCAGTTAATATGCAGAAACAGACATGATTTTCCAAAAAATGATTTTCAAAATAAATAGTTTTTTTTCCCGGTTCAGTCTTCTCTTTCTTCCCCTGTAACCAAAGGTGTGTGTGCAGTGACATGAGAGCCTGCAGGAAACAAACATGTTGTCACAGGCTGTGCGGGTGTCTGTAGGTTAGTGACTGCAGTGTGAAGACAAACTGCTGCCTGCATGTTTCACTATGTCTCCAGTAAATAGACTGCACCACACTGATCCTATCATGTTGTAACACTGTACAGTTGTTGGACACACCAGCTGGAGGAAACTGGGAGAATAAACTGAATCAGAGTTTAATGGTTTTAGTGTTTCAGGTTGATAAGTGATAATTTACTACATCATATCTGTGTGTGTCTCAGCTTTGGTTGTGTGTTTCAGATTTCTTGTTTCTAAATTATTATTTTATTTAACCTGCATTCATGATTTAGACTTTTTTCCTTTACACTCCACTGAGCTCAATACTTTTCCCTCAAAAAAAACAAACTTAACTCAGGGTCTACTTTTTACTGGTGCTTTACCTTCACCTCATGATCTTCATCACTGCAGACTTTGCTCACGTCTTACAAAGATGGTTGTCATTACATGTCTGAACATGTTGGAAACTTGTTTATTACTGAGTCATGTCATGAATGCATCGCCTGAAGCTTTGTTATGTCATAATTATCTGAAACGTAAATCACGTTGGCTAATCTGGGTTCAGGGATCTGACCCAAATATCAGCCTGTGTCAGTTTGTCAGATGTTTGGCCAGTGTTATGGAGTAACTAGTTACATGTTAAATTACAAAATAAATGTAGCTGTAATCAGTTACAATTCCTGGGATAAAATGCATAATTATCTGTCCTAAGCCCCTCCCACCAGACGACCACAGGCATATGCTTCATACAGTGACCCAGTGTTTCCCATACACTGATTTATTTAATCTTATTTTATTGTAGAGTTGTACGCAGCTCATTCTTCCAGTCCCTCCTTGCTCTGCTCTCTCTCTGTTTATCAGACCACATATGAGACAACAATTAGCTGCTAGCCACCCCACGATCCCTTTGCCTCGATCACACCTTTAGGTCAAAGGCTGTAGCAGCTTGAATTCAGCCAGCACAAACCCCCCAGCACCCGATATCACAGCATGCTGGTGGCCAGCAGCAGCACTTGGTTTAATCTGTGTACGGGCAGCAACAGAAAGTTTGCTGATCAGGTGGGGAGTTGGGGCTGTCCAGTGCCCAGGAGCTGCGGTTTGTGCTGGCTGAATTCTGGTTGCTGCGGCCACTTACTGGGGTTTTCTCTCCAGAACTGCTGCCGGCTCTCCTCCTGGTAAGGTGGTCTATAGTTGTGGGGAGTGAGGCGGAGGACACACTGTGATTTGAAGCTCTAGCTAACATTTAGCTACATAAACGTGAACATGAAGGTGCAGCCATGAGTCTAAAGGTCCTGACACACCAAGCGGACGGTTGGCCGTCGGTGAGCGTCTGTCGCCCTAGATTTTGCGGTGTGTCCCGCACCATCGGCACTTCGGTAGCTTTTCAGCCGATTGAGCATGTTGAATCGGCAGCGGAGCTTGTCAGTGAGAGAGATCACTCTGATTGGCTGTTCAGGTTTTATTTCCTTGCCCCTGTAGCGAGTGAATCTGCCTGTAGTGAAATCGGGGCTAACCGGTGCTTCCTCCTCAGGCTCCACTTCACTCAGCTGCCCCACAGACCCGCTGCTTCTTCCCACTTTAACCTGAATAACAGACCGGAGCTAGCTGGGAGCGGCTAGCAGAGCGTTAGACACAGCATGACCGGAATGAAGCACAGCCAGTTAGCCTCCGCTAGTCTCTGAGCTAGCCCCGGCTCTCCGTTTGGATCCAACCGGAGCACCGAGCCCTGGTTTGTTATTCAGGTTAAAGTGGGAAGAAGCAGCGGGTTTATCGGGCAGCTGAGTGAAGTGGAGCCTGCAGAGGAAACACCGGGACCGTCTGGATGTAATAGTCCGTGGAGGTGCTGCGGTGCTCGGCTGCACAGATAGGAAACCCCTCGGCTGACAGGATGTACCACTCTCTCACTCCGCTCTCTCTCACGCTGGTGCAGAACGTACGTGCAACTGACACAGGACGTGAGGCGACGTAGACGATGCAACAGTTGGCTTTCGTCGCTGCTAGTTCTTTGATGTTGGTTTGGTGTGTCAGCACCTTTAAGCTCCAGTTAGCAGAGGGCTAATCTTTTGTAACATTTTCTCTTCATCTCTGAAATGCTTCGCTGATATTCACACGTTTTATTTCGTTTACTGCCAGACTCTCTTTTCGATGAGTCCGTCTTCCTTTTCTGGGTCGTTTTGTAGTGCAGACAGTTGTTGCCAACGCTGGAACAGACATTTTCTTTGCAGGACTCTCCTCCATTGAATCAGATGCAGATGTAAAACAGCCAATAGAAACTCTCTCTCTTTGAAATGACCTGTTTCCCATCACAGGCTGGATTTTCTAACACTTGAAAACAGAACCAAGAGGAGGTTCTGTAGATATCAAAGATATTTATGGGATTTTTGCCCAGTGAAGCCAAAACCAAACTGCCTACTGGATTTCAGCACACTGAAGTCCTTGTAATATGCCTTTAATGTATACGTTGAATCTCATCCTGTGTGTGTGGGTTGTGTGTTTGTGTGTTTGTGTTGACAGGAGGAACTGATCATGGAAATAGTCAATGATCCACACTGTAAACCCAAACAGTTCAGACACTCCTACCTGCGCAGCACTCTGGTCCTCATTCTGGTAACTGTCATGGTAAGCCACACACACACACACACACAGATACTGAGTTGTTTATGAAGTTTGGTGGATGTGGTATACAGCGTGGGCTGAAGCTCTACCTGATAGGTGTGATTCAGAGCAAAGTATTCCTCAGAAAATGTATCTCACTGGCAGAGCTCTGCTCACTACCTGCTGACACGATCACCTGCCAAAACAAAGCTGCTTCACACCCAAAAGATCAGCTAGTATCCTGGAGTGACAGCTGTAACATAATATCATGTTATTGTCTCTAATTATCTCCTGCTGATTCGGGAACACGAGTGGAATTTATCACAAAACAAGACAAAAGATTATAAAAGCTTTAAATCAGATTGCAGCTTTATAGAACAGAGAATGATCTGGGCTGACTGCTGTGGGGTGGGTGTGGGTGTGGGTGTGTGTGTGTGTGTGTGTGTGTGTGTGTGTGTGTGTGTTGTGAGCAGAAAGACGGTGCAACATGTTGGTGTGTTTGTTTGTGTTCCAGCTGATGATAATCATCGGTCTCACTCATGCCCTGGTGGTGTTTCGAGTGGTGGCGGCCCCCTTGATGTCTCAGTTGAACTTTATCCCTGATTATGCCAACACTGTGGCCGTGATGCTGGGAGCTGTGCTGCACTACATCACTATTCAGATCATGACCCGGGTACGTATACCTACATCCAGATCCTCGTGCTGCCTTCACAGAATAGTTCAGAGTATGAAGTGTGAACACACTCTGTCATGGTGGTTCAGATCAGATATGAGGCCTAAATTACTTCTGTTGTGTATATGCTGCAGTTCATCACAAAGTGAAACCACAGCTAAATGAATTGTTTGAGTGTCAATTCTTGTATTTCATTTAACTTCCTGTGGTGATGCATGTGCAACCATTAAGCCGACACTTTGTCAACATGTCTGTAGTTCTTCTCACCAGGGGGGACATAGCATTGGTGTTCCCGATATCTCCAACTAAGAATACAAATCTGTGGCTGATGTGAAAGGTGTTTCCCACTCTGCTTTTCCTACAGTTTAAATTACATGATGTGAATGCTGCATCACATCCAAGCCCTGATGTAAATATATATCCTATGTAGAGAGGTAAAGTATGGGATAAGCATCATCCTACCCTCAGTTGGTTGCATCGATCATTTTTCCAACTCACTTCAGATGAAGCCATGCTCATTTTGCATGAAGAAAGTGAGCTGCCAGATGTAAAGGCCCGATTATGGTCTGCCCGCCCTGCTGCTAGCTAGCTAGCACACCCATGGATGTACCCTGTGGCTCTTCCCCCTCACTCCTTGCTGCTCTGAGACCACAAAGCCGGACAGCTTGATGATCAGTGTTGCCAACTTGGTGACTTTCTCGTGAGTGTCCTTGTCACTGCTGGTAGCATGAGGTGCTACCTGCAGCCTAATCAGGTTGCACAGGTAGTCCAGCTCCTCTAGGATGGCACATCCATACATGTGGTCACAAGAAGGTTTGCTGTGTCTCCCAGCACAGTCTCAAGAGCATGGAGGAGATACCAGGAGAGCAGCCATTACACGAGGAGAGCTGGACAGGGCCATAGAAGGGCGTCAACCCAGCAGCAGGACCGCTATCTGCTCCTTTGTGTGAGGAGGAACAGGAGGAGCACTGTCAGAGCCCTACAACATGACCTCCAGCAGGCTACTGGTGTGCATGTTTCTGACCACACTGTCAGAAACTGACTCCATGAGGGTGGCATGAGGGCCCCACGTCCTCTATTGGGACCTTTGCTCACAGCCCAGCACTGTGCAGCTCAACTGGCATTCATCAGAGAACACCAGAACTGGCAGGTCCTCCACTGGCGCCCTGTTCTCTTCACAGATGAGAGCAGGTTCACACTGAGCACATGTGACAGGTGTGAAAGAGTCTGGAGACACTGTGGTAAATGTTATGCTGCCTGTGACATCATCAAGCATGACCGGTGTGGCGGTGGATCAGTGATGGTCTGGGGAGGCAGATCCTTGGAGGGTCACACAGACCTCCATGTCATAGCCACCAGTACCCTGACTGCATTAAACCGCCATTAACACACATGTTAGCTCTCTGGGAAGTTTCTTCATTGATTTTCGACTCGTTGCTTCTGTGTTTGTGCAGTTTGAGGCACACAAACCACTTTACATATTGACCTCCTCACCCTCGTGTGCGAGCCAACATTAGCTCTTGACATCATCTTTAAACTGACGGGAACTTTAACAGACCACCAAGGAATCAGGAAGAAGTTTCTGCTGGAAGTTTCTGAAGAGCAGCTGATAGATGAGATCACACAGATCTGTCAACACAAGATGCACCTGCCAACAATGTCATAACTATCAAATCTTGTGTCTCTGTGTCAATGTCACCTGCAGGTGAACAGATGGGTGTCCCTCAAGCTGTGTAAAATAGGTGAGAACAAGCTTAATTCAGTGTGCTGTAGTTAGCATAGATGGAGACATGTATCAGTTTAAAACAATCAAGTGTCGTTAAAATATCTGAATACACTCATGATAATGAATCTGAGAGAAAATCAAATGTTCAAAGACATTTTGTCAAATATCTCACAGTACATGAATGTGTGTGTGTGTGTGTGTGTGCGTGTGTGTGTGTGTTTCAGAGAAGACAAACTCTTTCGCTGCCACAGAGAGGAACTTCACCGTCAAGATGTTCACCTTCCAGTTCTTCACTCTCTTCTCCTCACTCTTCTACGTGGCCTTCTTCCTGGGCAGGTACTCTGTATCTGTCTGTCAGTGTGTCTGTCCATGTGCGTGGAAACATATTTATGCTGAGGGGTGCTGCGCAGTTTAAATGTGCATGCACATGCTACAGGAGCTACAGGAAAACTGCTGAGTTCACGTGTTGTTAGCATGTAACAAAAGCCTTGGTTTTCACCAGCGCTGTATGGACGCAGATCTTTGCACGTGAAGTAGATGATGGACTGTTATTTTCTTCGCTCTGTTGCAGTTGGATGGGAGTTTTGTCGCTAAGTGTGTCCAGTGTTGATTGAGTTTTCAGCGGAGCAGTTTAGCGTTAGCTTGGCCATCGGCAGCTAACGCTATCTCTGGATGGTGGCCTGTGAGGTCGTGAAATCCAGACGATTGATTTAAACGCCAACAGCACATTTTAAATTTCTTTCTCCGGTGCCTCCATCTTTGTTTTGATGAACTTCCTGCCAGATGCTGCTGACCTCACTAGGAAAAACAAAACATCAGCACCATCTAGTGGACCGAAAAAGCAACTGATTTTATTAATCAAGTACTGAAAGTTGTATTCAAATGTGTATTTGCCAACATTAAAGGAATAGTGCACCCAAAAATGAAAATTCAGCCATTATCTACTCACCCATATGCTGAGGGAGGCTCAGGTGAAGTTTTTAGAGTCCTCACATCACTTGCAGAGATCCAAGGGGAGAGGAGGTAGCAACACAACTCCACCTAATGGAGGCTGACGGCGCCCCAGATTCAAATGTCCAAAAACACATAATTGAAACCACAAAATATCTCCATACTGCTCGTCCATAGTGATCCAAGTGTCCTGAAGCCCCGACATAAAAAGTTGTTTGGAAAAACGTCATTTGAACTCTGTTTTTAGCCTCATTGTAGCCTGTACTCTGACTGCCTCTCTGTGCACCGCACTCATATGCGTTCACTGATCTCCGCGCAAGCACACACACGTGAGCGCAGTGTGTGTGTATGTGTTTGTGTATATGTACTTTATACAGTAACCAGCCTTGAATTCAGAGGGTTAAAATGCTGGTTGTTGATGTGAAACGAATATTTTCTTACCACAGGATAAACGGCCATCCAGGAAACTATGTTCGCCTCGCTGGATTCAGACTGGAGGAGGTGAGGAGATACACTCTGTTGTTTTAGTCCTTCATCCAGCTTGAACACACCACAGCACTAACCCTGAGATGTGTTCTTTGTGTCGTAGTGCCATCCCAGTGGCTGTTTAACAGACCTCTTCATCCAGATGGCTGTTATCATGCTGCTCAAACAGACTCTCAACAACATCTTTGAGTTCACTGTGCCGTGAGTGTGTTAGCTGCGTTTTCATTCAGCATCACCTCCTGTAAGGCAGCAAGTGGTGATGAAATAATGTCCAGTCGTACATAGTGCCAACACAGACCTGATGAGAAAACAAAATGCTGTGTTTTCCAGCTGGTTGAAGAGCTGTCTGCGCAGAAACACTGCGAAGAAGCTGCAGAGGAAGTGCGGTAACTGTTACAGGAAGGCCTGCCGTGATGAAAGCAAGCAGATTGAACCGTGTGACATCTGCAAACTTCGGAACTGGCTGAAGAATTACCACCTGGCCAACACAGACGCCTTCAGCCTGTTCAATGAGTTTCTGGAGATGGGTAGGTCCTCAGTCTCCCCCTTTCCCCCACACTATGTGTCTAAGGCTTTTATTGTGAAAGGTAAGAACTGAAGAAGTGGATCTGGCATGTGCTGCCTTTGTCAACATTGACAAGAATGATAAAGTTTACCATTTTAGTTTGGACTATAGAGCCTACTTAAGTATAGGTACAACATCACAACAGTTTGAAAAAGAATTTTGACAAGCAAATTAATCGCACAAAAAAATAGCCCTGGTGTGTCAGGGTCTGAAGGCTGCAACACATCAAAATGTGAAAACTTTTAAGGGTTCTGAATACTTTCTGTACGCACGAAACAATAGAATTTGAAAACACTGCAGCTGCCTCTTCCTGCAGCTCCCCCCTCTCTTTCCTAAGCTCTTTCCACCACAGGCATATGCATGCACTTCATACGCTGATTATTTCATCTTCTTTCATTGTAGAGCACATTCTCTCAGCCCCTCCTTGTCCCGCGCTCTCTCTGTTTATCAGACCACAAATGAGACAAGAATTTGCTTGCTTCCCATCACTATGGGCTGCTTCTCCAGGAGGAGAGCAGGCAGCAGCTCTTGAGACAGACTTTCAGTGGAGGCTGTAGTGGCTCGAGACAAGAATTGCCCCACAATCCCCTCGCCTTGCTCAGACCTTTCGTTATCGGCTGTAGAGGTTTGAATTCAGCCAGCGCAAACCCCCCAGCACTGGATGTCACAAGGGACTGGTGGCCAGCGGCAGCGCCAGGTTTAACCTGTGTAACAGCAGCAACAGAAAGTTGCTGATCAGGTGTGGAGTCAGGGCTGTAGTGCCCCGCAGCTGGTGTTTGTGCTGGCTGGATTCGGTTGCTGCAGCCACTGATTTGGGGTCTGTCTCCAGAGCTGCTGCCGGCATTTGTAGAACAGTCAATAGGAACACTCTCTCTCTGAAATGACTTATGATTGGCCAAAGTCTCCCGTCAGGGCTAGATTTTCTAAAGCCATGTTACTATCTGACTGTCTGTCCCCTCTAGTGGTCCAGTTCAGTTTCACCACCATATTCGTGGCAGCGTTTCCCCTTGCCCCCCTGCTGGCTCTCATTAACAACATCTTTGAGATCCGCCTGGACGCCATCAAGATGGTCCGCCTGGAGCGGCGGCTGGTTCCCCGGAAGACCAACGACATCGGTGAGCAGTGTGTCTGTGGATATTTGAGTCAGAGGTTTCTGTGTAGAGTGGTCTGCTACAGCGGACCCTCAACAACATCTACTTATACTGAAGCACGTAGTAAAGTACAGTGTGTCCTGTTCTTCTGTCTGTAGGTGTGTGGACGAAGGTGCTGGAGGCCATCGGCGTGTTAGCAGTGATTGCTAACGGTCTGGTTATTGGAATCTCATCAGACTTTATTCCACGCCTCGTCTACCGTTACAGCTACGGCCCCTGTGCTAATGGAACAACTCACGAACAGTCAGTCTCGTTTCAGCTGGTAGAAACACCTGATGACTCGTCAGCAGGCTGCGTCGTGTCTCTTCATCATCATGTGTTTTGTGTTGTTGCAGCTGCATGCAGGGCTACATCAATGACACCCTGTCCACGGCTAATGTGACACACTCAGGAGCTGATGTCTTTAGCACAAACCAGATGAAGATAGATGGCCTCGACGTCGCACAGTGCAGGTGAGAAGAACTTACATAACAGAATAAGCAGTCACAGATCTGATACTGGGGACAAACTGTGTGCGTGTGTGTGTGTTTGTGCAGCTACAGAGACTACAGGAATGAGGACTATGCTCTGACCCATCAGTTCTGGTTGGTCTTGGCCGTGCGCTTTGCCTTCATCATCCTGTTTGAGGTTTGTACTCCAGGTCAAATGGACGTCATTGTCTGACCCAAATCTGAAGACGACAGTGAAGAAGTTTCTGTGTGTGTCGTCTGTGTGTTTCTACAGCATGTTGTGGTGGTGTGTAAGTTTATAGCGGCCTGGTTCGTCCCCAACAATCCCATCCGTGTGAAGAACGATCGGCTGCACGACAAAATGGATCGGCTGAAGGTGGAGCTGCGGTAAGTCAGCAGAACTACAGGACACAGGTCAAGATAAATAGATAATCATGCCGTCGGGACACTGTCAGAGCATCTCTAAAGCCGTAGGGGCCAAAACACTCAGCTGCCCCTTTAAATTCTACGTACATGCCGACTCTCATGGATGCGCCATCCCGAGACACGTCACAACACTGTCCTTTTTCCAGCCTCGTGCTCTTAAAGGAAGCCCCACATATTTTAGGCTGCTTGTACATCCCTGCTCCTGTGGCAGCTAAACTCCTCTCCTTGCTTCTTGTGAGAGACTCGTTGCTAAGGTCGAGAAATATCCTTAGCGACATGATCCACAGTTTCGTCATTATAAAGACAATGGTGAAAGGTTTTACCTGGTCAGCCACAGCTGTGGAGATCGGCTTCTCAGGTGAGTTTCCACACATGATTTTAAAGGAGAAGTCGAGTATTTTGCACTTTGAGTCCCATTTCTGGGTTGTTTATGTTGAAACAGAGTGGTTAAGACCAAAATAGTGACGATTGCTCATTTTTGGAGAATTTGGCTTTCCCCTGCCTGGCTTAACACTGCTGTCTATGGCCATGTGTGAACCTGTCCTAAAACCACCCTAAACGTTCATTTTCAAAGTCATGAAACTCACCGAGTGCTCAGTGGTGTTCGTTGATGTTCTGACATATAAATTGTAGCAAACTGTGGTTTCCGTGATGATTTATTTGACATTTTGTCTACCCCATTGGTTTCCTATAGAAGCCTCATTGTCCGTTGGTAGAGAACGAACGAAAAAGTTTTGTAATAAGTTTAAACAACTGCACAACGGATTACTTGCTTGTAAACAACCTTTGCAGTACGATGCCTTTGAAGACAACGTCAACCTTCTTCTTCTGCTTCTTCTCTGTGTCTGTCCCAAGTCTCTTAAATTACTGCTAGTTATCTTACCTAGCCGACTTTGCTAGCTGTTAAGCCCCTCCCACCTAGGAAAAAAACGCGAGGAGCTAGCGCTAGGAGCGATGAGCGAGCATTGTCGGTTTAAGAGACATGAGACATCCTTTCCACTGAAGCGTCACGTGAAGCGACGTCCATTCCTGGCGATGGCAGCACCGCTGGATCTGCTCCGTAAAGCAGCCAGCTTCTGGCGTTACTATGGGTACATCCCAAGTCTCATTATATTCGCTGACCAAAACAGTAGCCTCCACCCCCCGCCGTCATGACTCTGGTCACACACTTTTGCATGTATTACCATTGTTATTGAGTCATTTGTCGAAGTTTGTGCAATTACAGAACGGTTTGTAGCCCTGCTATTCCACTGTCACTGTGATGAGCATCATCATCATTATTATTATCACTATTATTAAATCCACTTGCCATCATTCAACATAGTCAGCGATTCATTGCAAAGAATGCATGTAACGGGGACTTACTCTTGAACTGTTTCTCCGCCATCTCGTTCAAATGTGCCAGATGTAGAGGGCGGGTATTTATACGTCATGGCGTTCAGCTGAAAAACTCTTCCGGATAGGAAGCTCTCAACCATCCTAGCTCGTAGCTGCTTAAAGCTTGCTGCTAGCTCCTAGCGCTAGCTCCTCGCTGCACAAATAAGAGACTTGGGACGGCTTAGAAGATGGCGGACCTCGAACGACTTCCGGTTCAAGCGAGGAGCTAGCAGTAGCACTATAAAAATAAGAGACTTGGGACAGACCCTCTGTGTCCCATTACATTGCACTGGTTTCCTGCCGGTTGGCAACACCCATGTAACGGAGCATTATCGCCATCAAGTGGGCTGGAGTGTATAACGCTTCAGGGTCAAAGGAACGATCAAGCGGAAGTTCACACACGGGTGTGAGGCAGCTGAAAAAATAGTTCCACAATCGAGATGAAGAGCAAAAACATGGATGGAAACCACAGTTTGCTACGATGCCATAAACCGCAACCAAGAAACGAAACCCAATTTTATCCAGACGAGTTTAGTTTCCCTGATTTGTTCAGAAAAGAGAGCTTTTCTTACGTCCCTGTGGATCTCCATCTTAGGGCCTGTGTTCACATAAGGTTTTTCTTCAACAGAAAAGCAGTGGCAGGTCGCTCAGGAGTTCTTCATCCCAGCGCTTCATAAAAAAGAGCTCCCAGTGCTACTTTTAATGACGTGGCCAGCATGGGTATGTTTCTATGCCAACAATATCTTGACACTAACTGTAGCTAGGTAGCTAATATAATGCTACATGAACAGAGGACTGACAACACACTCAAAAACAAGCTTACAAAATCCACTGTCCAACATCCACGCATATATTCACTGTCTGCCGGCCGATCTGCTCACAAAAACGAGCTTTGTTGTGACAGGAGCCTCTTAAGAAGCGGCAGTGACGTCTGCAAGGTTCAGAAATTTTCAACTGAAAGCGGCCACGCTCTGAAAAAAGAAGCTGGGCGCTGCACTTTCTCTCCAGGCAGCTGCATGCAGCCACACACACTCGCTCCGAACGAACAAAAAAGACGCCAGCGCTGAGAAAGAAACGTCATGACACAGGCCCTTCCCCAGCTGACAGTTTGACCTTCTTACGTCACAGTCTCAGTAACACCAGGGTGCCGTCACACTTCTCTCCTCAATCTATAATGTGCGTGTTTTTGTTCTTATTTCAGTGACATGAAACGCAGCAAATCAACAGACGTCTGACCGCCCACAGCTGACCTCAGATCTGCCTCGGCTGGCTCCAGCATCGCAGGGAGAGATTCTGTTTTTTTAAATTAATATTTGGTGTTGAAACAAGAGACTGGACTGAGACTCTGATGTTGTGTGAGGTTTATGTGTCAGGGTGTCATTGGACTTTATGTCACCACACAGCCATCACACTACGTCTAACAACAGCTGACAGTCGTGATGTTTTTATATTAAAATGTAAGAAAGATTTTATTTTTGTCTTTTGATGTTGATGTTTTTGATGAGTTTTCCCCGTAAAGGAACAGTGTGACAGTTTTCTGCTCAGCGTTAGACGAGAACATCATCACTGCACATTTTACATGTGTGAACTGTCCCTGTACCTGCTCTTTAATTCCTGAGCACTTAAATGTGTGTTCATGCACTTTCAGGTAATACACAAGTTTGTCTCATGTCACAGTCCCCTTAACCCACACTGTCCTAAGCTGCCTCAGAGCTCAGTGTCTCCCACAATGCACCACAGTCTTCTGCTCCACATCAGTCCAGCTGTTGATGTTTGGGCACCATTAAAGTTCATGTTGGATTCAGACTGAATATTATTACTTATGTCCAAACATTACCAAAACCTTCACAGATGGTTTCTTTCTTAAAACTTTATCAGACAAAACCCATAAAAATAATATCACATCACATCTTTTATCCAGTGGACCCATGTGCTTCTAGATAACTGAATGTTTTTATTCTCTCCTCCTTTTTTTTTTTTTTTTTTACTGTCATCTGATTGTAACTATAATGTTGTATGGTTGATTCTGTGTATTTTTTCCACAACACAATCACTGGAAAAAATGTTGACATTGTTGGTTTCTGCACAGGGTGGCAGCTGGTCCTTAAAATGTCTTAAATTTAGATTGAATGGGTCTTAAATGTTTTTTAGTCACATTGTTACGGCTCTATATGTGTTCTGTGCTGCTGTCTCTTTTCACTGATGTAAGTTTTGCTGGTGGTGATGTAGGAAAGATTTTAACAGGAGGGAAAAACTATTCGACGGGGTACCAGACTTCGACACCTGTATGTGCTCAGTGCCTATTTGTGCCCCCTTAGTGCACTTAGATCACACAGTGAGTCTGCATCAGTAAACTCAGACCTTGCAAGCAATGAAAAATGGGATAATTGTAGTGTAAGGACAAATAGCTAGTGTTGGAGCAATTATTCGTGGTGATTAAAGCCAGTGCCTGTTAAGAGCCAGTTTACACAGCAAACTGCGTTGTATGTCGAAGGTGTTTCAGACGTGGTAAAATGGGTATCTGAGCCATGGAATTGAACAAGCAGAGACAATATTGTCAGGGTCATTTTTACTGTTCATTTTGAACTGACATCAATGTCTTTACTTGGAAAGAGTTTATGTTCACTTTTGATGTATATTTCCATCGCAAGTTTGGTCTTAAATTTCATTTTAAGTGGTGTTAAGTTCTTTAAAAGTCTTTTATTTAACTCGTTTATACCTGCAGACACCCTGCTGCACACCACGCATATGTTACATTAATACATTTCTTTGTATGATGAAACTTTGTTTCTCAAGAATGCTGTGGTGAAGGTGTGGTTAGGTTAACACGCTAAAACCACACAGTTATGGTTCGGAAAAGATCTCGTTTTGGCTTGAAATACCCACGTTTGGTGGCAGAAAAGCTGCTCGAAAATGCCACAAAGGGTCGCTAACAAACAGCCTGCTTTGTAGTTTGTTGGTCTTGAGCAGTGGTCTGCAGCTTGGCACGCATCTCTCCTAGGAGTCACACCATCCACCATCCCCTCCACCTCCTGACAGCAAAGTCAGCTCACATGCTACGTCACTTTGAAACGTTTATATGATTGGTATGAAATGTACAAATGTAACATATCCATGTTTTGCAGAAACATACAATGCCAACATTTTCTTCTGCTTCTGGCAGAGCATATGAGCTCCACTGAGTGTGTTTAGGGAGCCACAGGATGTCCTCAGGACAGTGTACCTGTCGTCTCCTTCACGGACTCCTTCATTCATTTAGAAATATCATATTGTGTTTTAATATCCAAACCAAAGAAAATGAGCTGAGTATTTTTATTGACATCTGTAGTTTGTGATACGTCTGAAATACAAACATCTGTCCCACCTCTGTCTGCTTCTGCCTCTCTCCCCCTCATTTCCTGTCACGTCTCTACTTTTTGCTGCAGAATAAAGACATAAAAATGACCTAAAATAAGAATAAAAATTCTCCTTCACTTTGTGCCCTTTGTGCTTGTTGTAAGTTAATCACTGAACTTAACAGGTGTTTATATTGGATGGGCTTTTTACACAAAATCCTTGCTAGGAAAAGATGGGAAATGCTAGTAAATTGTTTAAAAATCAGTATCAATATTTCCTGTATAAAAATTAGGCTTTGAATAACATATCGATAAGGAATTATTTATTTGATCTAGCTCCAGCAGACAGCACATCAGATAGTTACAACATTACCTGTCACCTGGCGTACCAACACAACTCTACTCTTTATCCTCTTAAAAATTAACAAATTGGCTCAGTTTTTATGAAAAATCCTTTTAATTCTTTTGATCTGTGGACCCTTTTGGATTAAAGGAATATAAATAGTACTATGTTTGGACTTTATGACCATCTCAGTTGCAGGCAGTCGCCACCTTTTTTTGTCTCCTGTTTACCATATACTGTTGTTGTGTTGAAGACTGTTTCTACGTCGATATGTTTTTCCCTCCACCCTAACCTGACCCAAACCCTGAGCCCTAACCCTCATGGTTTTAGTAAAATGACCTAGACAATTAAATTGTGACGGTCAAATCTAACCGAGCTAACATGTATATAGCATGTCCATATTAACCCTTTCATGCATAGTGGTCACGACAGGGGACAGTTTTTTTAAAGCCATTTTCTTGTACATGCTTGGGTTTTGATGCTGTAGTTGCATGTAAGTCACGACAGTTGATCCCAGTGTGTCTTGTCATACACTGCCACCCACTGGCCAGGTGTTGTCAGTGCAACACAAAGCTTTCAAAACCAAGATGGCCGACAGATGGCAAGAAGTGTTGTGCAGCTCAGGAGTTTATCTCCAGTCCTGCTACAATAGGAGGCCCTTGCAGGTAAATAAAAAATGTTAATATCAAGTAACATCTCAGGAGTTATATAGTTGTTAAAATTTTCAAGTATTGATTTTATGTTGGGAAGAAATTACAATTAATCATCTGTCTGGTAAACTGGACGTCATGCAGCACTGGCTATATTTTAGCTACAATTAATACCTTTACTGAAACCTTGCACTTCATCTGGAGTGACTTCTAGGGTGTGAATAAATTAATTTATGTTCTCAGAATGTAATTTGAAATTTTTGTGACAAAAACAATATTTTGATAAGAGCGTTGTTGAAACATAAAGTTTTAACATATCTGCTAGCATCCGTGGTTTGCAGTTGCCAACATTTTTTTTTCTGGCAACTGGGTTTCAGAGTCAATCTGAGCAACAGTTTCTCTCACTGAAGCTTCCAAAATATCCAGCTGTCATCAAAATGTGTTTTTGTTAAAGGTATATTCTGCAGGATTTTTTTTTTTACGAAAATGATACATAAACGAATCAATGAATCATCTCATCTCAATCATCATTTATGACCCACTAGAAGAGTGTGGCCATATCATTTTCAGCAGCCCATATTTTCTTATTTTGCTGTTTCAGGATGTTTCAGGGTACAAGGTGTTGGTGAGGTAGCAGCTAGGTGCCAGACCAAAAGCAACACGCATCCAAGTAGATAAGATTGAACCAGTAACTGACATTTCCTGCATGGCATACCTTTAATATGAATCATTCCCCAGGAATAAATAAAAACGTCATCGCCAGTGTTTATGTTGCAGAAATATAACTTTAATAATTATCATCCCTGAAATCCTCAGACAAAGAAAGTTTACATCACAGTATTATATTGTGATGGTGAAAAAGAGCACATGCTGGTTTATAAATAATACAACCTGAATAGGAAGCGCTAAGGTTAAGTATTGCAAAATGTTTGTAAAGTTTCAGTCCCATCTAAAGCACTGAGTAATGGATCAACGCCTCCCGCGGCGCTGTGGTTTGGATGTTACTCCTGGCACACACTCTGCTTTGGCGCAGCTGCACGTCTCCACCATGGTGTAGCTGTGCTGGACCTTGGAGCCGTCGGCACAGGTCAGCTCCACCTGCCTCTGACTGGTTTTGGCTTCTCGGCAACACTCGCACTGGTGCATCATGGTGTTAGCTGCTGCAGAGTATCTGTACAAAATAAAAGGTTCTGCATTAATCCTGTGGCCCTGTCTTGTGTCAAGTCCTCTTTAATTTAGTTATGCATATTGCTAATTATTTTCCAAACAGCAGCTTCTTTCCCTGGGGTAACAGGTTTGTCTTTCAAATCAGGGCAAGACAGTAAAATGTGTTAATTAATCAATTGAGTAAAAAAACAGTGCTTTCCTAGCATTTACAGGCTGAGGGAAAGGACTGTTTCCCCCTTGCCAACTCCGCCCTCACCGCGCCCTCAAACAAAAGCAAATCAAAAGAGGCGTGAGGTTTAACACAACGGCATTGCCTCTAGTGTGACATAAAACATACCCGTTGGCAGCACAACAATAACCATGGCAATGACAATAATTTATCTTGTCTGTTATATGGCGGCTGATCTGGTCCTCTGCTCGGAGGGTAAGGAGCTCCTGGACCTCATTGTTTTCCAAATCTGTGGACATTTACAGCTGCTTTCTTCTTCTTCGAGTTAGCTGCTAACTGCTAACAGCTACTTTTTAAATCGCACACATAACATGTCATCAAAATGGCTGTGTAGAAGGAGCTTATGCCTAAACTACGACTGTATCTGTGAACTAAAGCAGGCTGAGGCAGCTGCTGACAGAAAACTGTGGTTTTGCCGATTTAATTGAAATGTGGTGCTAATTAGACTCACATGGACGAGCTTCCACATTGTCCGGCGCAGGACGTCATGTTGACTGGCTGCGGGCTCCTGCAGTTGTTCACCTTGATGACTGTCTCCTTACTCTTGACCTCACAGAAGCTCTTCAGCTTGCCTGGAACACACACACACAGCAACTGTTAGGCTCTAACAACGACACGTGATACACAGCTTTGTCGACTTCTTAAAAGCAGTTCATGAGTTTCTGAGTTATCATTTAAATACTGTGACTCCTCTAACTTACAGCTCTTGCAGCATCCATTAGCGTCAGTTGTCTCGGTGCCCTGCAGGAAAAAGACATGTCGTGTTGTGAGTTAGACAGTTAGGGGGAGTGTATTTGTGTGTGTATTTGTGTGAGTGTTTTGGCAGATAAACTCACAGGTTCACACTCAGAGGAGTCATAGTGTGGACAAGAGGTCGTGGTTTCCTTAGTGAAAAACTGTCCATTGATCTTCTCACAGGTGTATTTCACACACTTGTCACCAGGTGGAACGTAAGTGCCATTGACCTGTACGGACAGGAAGAGCAGGAGCTGAGTCAGATATTCAACAAAGAGATTGTCTCTTGTCCTTTTTGGCTCATATGCAAAACATAGACTGTATCAAATAATGGACGAAGCCACCGTGATGTCACCAATTGGTTTGTGGACTCCCGTTTTGGAGGCTTGAGTTTGGCATTTGACCAATGCCATCCTGGAATTTCGGAGCCAGAAGTGACCATGTTTGGACAAGAGGGTGGAGATAGCCCTAATGCTAGCTGCTAGCTAGGTTAGCATGATGCATTTACAGCAATGGTGAACGGTGAAAATGCTAGTTTTTAGTGGTGAAAACAGGCTTAAAAACATTAAAACAAAATGTACTTACTGAACATTCAGTTCCTCTGAAAACCTTAATTTCAACCAAATGCTGAACAAGACTTTTTAGGTAACCAAACACTTACAATAATACTATTTGAATCTGGGGTTACGCCACTAGTGTTGTCAAAAATATCAATTTGTCAAAACATATCAATTCTGAATATTTGAAACAGTTAAAAGAAACCCCTCCGGCCACTGCTAGCATCCCTTTTCTCATATTCTTGTCTTTTAGAAACGTGAGGAAACACTCACACAGCTGCAGTACTGACCTCAATGACTTTCGTTGTGTTGTCAGGTGTGGTGAAAATACAGCTCTTCTGAACACACTTTCCGCAGCACTTTTTGGGATCAGCCTCGTATTCGTAACCCTGGAGACGAGAATGAAAGACAGTGAGAAAAAAAAAAACTTGTGCACTTGAGTGTTCTCAGTTTGAACCCTTTATACTGACATGATCATGAAGTACCAATTTTAAAGAGAAAGGCAATCCTGGCTGCCTACAGATAGGGCACGGTGGTTGCTATGCCGTGTACTAGCTTGTTTTTTTTAATTGCCCAGTGGTCCTTAGGTCCCAGGCAAATGCACAGTGATGCTGAATTGTGCAAAGGAAGTGTGCTAAGTCATCACGGTTATTTTACTGTCATATTATCACAGCAAACATGCATCAGCTGGTACAGTTGCACCAAAAAAGTTACCCTTGAGTGCAAATGTATCCCTGCAGTGAATGTGTGTGTGCTTGTTGGCATGTCCTGTGAATGAACTTACATCAGCGCAATTTTTATCGCAGACAATAGGTGTGCAGGTAATGATGTTGAGTTTGGTGACAGGATCCATTTTGGGGCCACAGTAACACTTCTGGCAGGGTCCAGGTTTGAAAGGTGCTCTTGTTGTTCCTGATGGAGTTCTTGTTGTTCCTGAGGGTCCCTGTGTTCCTGATGGACCTTGTGTTCCTGATGGTCCTTGTGTTCCTGATGGTGCTCTTGTTGTTCCGGATGGTCCTTGTGTTCCTGATGGACCTTCTGTTCCTGATGGTCCTTGTGTTCCTGATGGTGCTCTTGTTGTTCCGGATGGTCCTTGTGTTCCTGATGGACCTTGTGTTCCTGATGGTCCTTGTGTTCCTGATGGTGCTCTTGTTGTTCCGGATGGACCTTGTGTTCCTGATGGACCCTGTGTTCCTGGTGGACCCTGTGTTCCTGATGGTCCTTGCGTTCCTGATGGTCCTTGTGTCCCTGATGGTTCTTGTGTTCCAGATGGACCTTGTGTTCCTGACGGACCTTCAGTTCCTGATGGTCCTTGTGTTCCTGATGGTCCTTGTGTTCCTGATGGTCCTTGCGTTCCTGATGGACCCTGTGTTCCTGATGGTGCTCTTGTTGTTCCTGATGGTCCTTGCGTTCCTGATGGACCCTGTGTTCCTGATGGACCCTGTGTTCCTGATGGTGCTCTT